TAGTTTAAAGGGTAATTTATTAAATAAAATTAATTATAATATAATAATAATTTTTTTTATTTATAATTTATTTATATTTTAAATAATAAATTTAAGTAAAATAATATAAAATAATAGTAAATAATATTTTTATATAAAATACTATTAAAAGTAAAACTTCTAAAGTTAATTGTTTAATATTATATAAATTAATTAATAAAAATCTAAATTATAAAATTTTAAAAATACTTTTTCTTTAAATACTTATTTATTTTTTTAATTATAATATAAGATTACTTTAAATTATTTCTAATTTTAAGAATCTCTTTTTATAGATTATATTTAATTTATTATACTTAAGAATAGTATAGTTATATAATCTTTTATTTTAATTTAATAACTTATAGGCACCTATTTAGTTATATTCTTAGGCTACCTCTCTAGCTACCTTGTGTTCTTTCCTTCGTTTGTAATACTAGAATAGAAGACTACTATAAAGAGTAACCACATGAGTTTTAGAGAAGACAGCTCTAGGTCAGCTAGAACAAGTAGGTATAGATTTTTAGCTACTTATCTACCTAGGTATCTTTTCTTCTATCTCACGTATAGTAGGTCGTAAGTAATTCCGCTCACGACCCTAAATCCTACTATAATACCTACTTTAAATCTACTTATACTATAAGAGCTAGGACTTAAAATTATTTTTCTATAATTATAATAAAAAAATTTAATAAATAAAGTATAAGTATCTATTTTTAAAAAAATATTTATAAAGTTAAGTTAATTTATTATATTTAAATTAAAACTTATAAAAGTTCTTTACTATTTAAATTTACTTTTTTTTTACTTATTTTTAATTTTATAAGATAATATTTAGTTTAGTTTAGTACTTAAAAATCTTTAAAAAACTATAAGTTATATTTTATTTAATTTCCTACTTTTAGGTATTTAATATATAATTTATTTATATTACTAATATTATAATAATATTACTTAAAAACTAGGCATTTTAGTGGGATTTAGGGTCGTGAGCGGAATTACTTGGACCTACTGTAGTTCTATGAAGAATAGAAGGTACTTAGCCGACGGATATTATCATCACCTACCTTCCTAAATTAGGCAAGTACATCCATGATTTAGGTACCCGTACCTAACCAAGGGGTGGACAAAAAACATGGCGGGTATACACTGATTTTCGCCCACGATTAGTGATGGTTGTAGGTAGACTACCGCCATGTTTTTTGTCCACCGAGTGCTAATCAACCAAGCGGATACCAAAAACATATGGCCACCATTTGGTAGAATGTCTGAGAGAATCGGCCATGTTTTTTGGTACCCGCTTGCCAACCTACCTACCACCCTACCAATTTCATGTACCTACTTGCGCGTGATGCGTAAGTAGCATCCTTCGTCAACTGTTTACCAGTCACAATCACATCTCGGCGACCACTTATCTTCCTACACCAAACAGCAGACAAGCGATTCTAGTGGCAGCCACATTTATCGATATTCATCACCTGTGGCACAATACAGTCACCCACTTCAGCCTAGACGCACAAGGGAACAGCAGGATTCGACACGGCCCCATGTCGTTCCTGTTTGGTCGGGCTCGGGCTCGCACCGCAGCTGATCTCCCCAAACAAGCTCGCGAGCATGTACTGAAGCTCGATGGTCCCACGGGCACTGCAAAAGTACGTTTCTCCTCGATCACTCATCACTCGCCATGGCTTGACTGACCAGTAGAAGGCCGAGGAGCTGTCTCGCGTTCTCGCCCAAATGAAAGTGATATTGCAAGGCACGCAAGGCACGTACATTCACCCACCGGGGTCAAACCAACCTCTTGACTTCTTTGTAATTCAAAATTAACGTTTTGGAATCTCCAGAGACCGATAGCTCGCCAGAACAAATATATCAACTTGTTACCGGAATGATCGACGAAGATCTCCTACACTTGTTAGCCGTCAATCTCCATCGTTTACCCTTCGAATCGCGGAAAGATACTCAGGTTATCTTCTCATACGTATTTCGATTTCGTCCCGCCGCGGCAGCTCCGAAGAGCGATCCAATAGCCCTGTCATACGTCGTTTGCAATCGGCCCCAGGTCCTTGTGGAGCTGTGTCGCGCATACGATCATAAAGAGAGTGCCACTCCAGCCGGATCAGTACTCCGCGAACTACTCAAAAACGAAGCCGCAGCTGCCGTCATTCTCTACGATGACGGTGACGCTCCGGGATCCAGTGCAAAAGGTCTCAATGCTATTGACAGGGACCGACCTCAGAGCGGAAGGGGTATATTCTGGAGGTTCTTCGACTGGATCAATAAAAGCTCATTCGAAGTCGCTGCTGACGCCTTCACAACATTCAGGGTAACTTGCACAACAGCGTAAAGTCATTGGCTAGCTGCTAATATTTCCGTGTAGGAGCTTCTCACTCGACACAAAGACCTTGTTCCACGATATCTCTCTGCAAACTTCGACCTCTTCTTTGACAAATACAATAACATCCTGGTGCAATCGAACAGTTACGTTACCAAGCGTCAGTCTATTAAACTTCTTGGTGAGATTTTGTTGGATCGCTCCAACTACAGCGTCATGACCGCATACGTCGACAGTGGCGAACATTTGAAGATATGCATGAATCTGCTCCGAGACGATCGCAAGATGGTTCAGTACGAGGGCTTTCACGTTTTCAAAGTGTTTGTCGCCAATCCACATAAATCTTTGCCAGTTCAGAAAATTCTCTTGATGAATCGTGAGAAACTTCTTACCTTCTTGTCCCATTTTTTGGAGGACAGAACAGATGACGAACAATTCATTGACGAACGAGAATTTCTGATCAAGCAAATTAGAAACATGCCTCCAACGCCAGTGTCCTCACAGCGATAGATATCATAGTATTTAGGATAATAACGAGACCAATGCAGCGCTGCTGAGGACCGTGCGCAGTTGTTCTACGCCTTCAGGTATCCGTACACTGTCTGCAGAGCGAGGGCATACATCATCTCGATGAAAATAGCTGACCAAACTAGTTTCATAACTCTTCAATATGGCCTTGCACCAATTCTACATAACGCCAAACTCGAATTGCCATCTCAGCGGCTCATTTTTGCAACACGGCGGTACATAGTTTCGCCAGTCATTGCAAGAATCCCAGACCGCATGCTGCCTGCGGCTAACGTTGTCGAGAGAGTAGCACATTAACACTTTCCCTCGCGGTCTGTGTGGCCCAGAGGCTGTTGCTGCCACCTCTGCGCCATTCGTCACCATAACCATTATCGCCACTATTGGAACCTTCGCCCATGATAACTTCCAGATCCCTCTTCTGCGAGCTCAACCAATTCCTAACAAAAGTGGCGGGATCGTCGCCCAGCGACTTCATGAACGTGTGTTTAGCCTTGGAGGCTGAGACAGCTTGCACGAGACGTGCCAGTTGTTCATCGAGTCCACTGATATCCTTGAGCATAGCCAGATATTGTGGGTTGTTGATCACTTCCTGCAAGCTTGCTCTCGAGGGGTCGCTGATGGCCACTTGTATATCGTAGATGGTCGGCTGTGGGTTTTTGTGGAATTCTTCGTCGACACGAATGGTGTATGGCAAGGAAACGGGCGGAAGAGGTCGCAGGTTTTGTGCCACGTAATCGTTGAGCATCGGAATAAATCCAACGTCGGCCCTCACGACCTACAATATGGTTAGTAATGTAACTTAGTTTTCCCGGTGACTGGGTTCGGATATTAGCGGTCTCGCCTTTTTCAATAGCTCGTCACAACGAAAGTTGCGCTTCTCTTCATCCTCTTGCAGACTGCGCTGCCTTACGTATTCCCAAAGTCCCATGACAGCCTCTTGCTGTGTACCTTCCTTCGTGTCCACAACGTCTGCCAGTTCCGAGCTAAATTGATATCGCTCGGGCATTTCCTGTCGAAAGAGGTTGATTGTAATATTTGCATTTTCGTCGCCATTGCGCTTGAACGTGATCTCGTCAAAATCAGCAGCGGCTGGAAGATTTGGTCCGTTGGGCTGTCGAAGAGCCGCATCGGGCTTCTTCCACTCAACACTCTGCTCAGCACCATTGCGGAAGCGTGAACGGTCGAAATCGACGGTCATGGATTTGAAGAAGTATGACAATTTCGATTTGTTAGACACAGTGCCCGACCTTTCAGTTGTCACCGCATCCTCGTTCATTTTGACGTCATTATCCTCTGTGGCAGTGTTTGCAGCAGATGGCTTTGTTCCAACCTCGTCTTCGAGAACTTCGTCAAGAAGGCGGCCTTGAATTGTTACGCGGTAGGATGCCTCAGCAGCGCCCGAGAAGTCGAATGAGTCAGATGTCGGTCCGTTGCCCTGCCAGACTTGATCCTGTACAGTGTTGCTGATCCAAATGCGAAGCGTTTTCGTCAACTGACTCAACATCAGCGTCACTAATCCAGAATGTTTGCACTAACAATTGCTCTACCTTTGTTAGATGCTGTGTATTGTCGAGCACATCAAGCCGCTTGCGCGTGATAGTCGCATCAAGGAGGCGCTCAATGTCTTTGAGATCTCTGTATCGCTGGGCGCTCTCCGGGTTGATGATGCTGTCCTCGACGCCATCGGGTATGCTTTTGTCTGTAGGTTTGCGGCTGCGCCGCTTTGCAAGCTCAGCTGCCTGTGCCTGGGCTTGCTGCTGTTGTGCCATTTGCGCTTGAGTGAGCGGCACGGCTGGGTGAGGTCCAGCAGACATCATTGGGCCTGTCAAAGTGTCAATGGGATGAAGGAGACGCGAGACGCGCAAAATGCGACATACCAATGCCACCGCGACGAGCAGTCGCATGCGGCGACCTCTGTGGCGCTTGCTGTGCAAACGCACGATACTGTTGTTGCATCTTTGGAGTCTTGCTATGGTTGACAACAATCACACTTATTAGAGAGGCATTGCGCGCTCAAAGACAGCGTGTTAAGGCGTTCAAGCGCCAGATGGAGCCAGGTCACGTGCTGGTTCGCAACTGTACTGTTCCGAGAGAACTACTGACGTCCGACAAAAGGCGATTTGACCATCCTACAAAACAGTCGTGCGGGATTTATGCGAATAGGTTTTCGCTATCTGAGTAAGTTCAGCTAATCAACTATATATGGATTACACATTGTTACTAGATTTCTTGTATTCTGCCGTCACAGATCGCAGCACCAGGCAGTACGAAAAGTGCACTGTTAGTGCACAAGTTTGAAATTGACAGCGAACATTGTAGGTTAGGCGTTGGGCTGTATGACTAAATATATAAGCTGATTTGTGATAATCAGCAGCAATCAGCCCTTGATTGCCGCGAACCTTGTGCCAAAACATGTATGCACGCGCCCAAACAGGACACAGATTTCCAGATTACGCCATGCTTCAAATGCCAGAACGGACTACTTCTTTGACGAAGAATGCTGATAGAAACATAAATAAAATCGCTGTACGCGTGATTCGCCTCCCCATGCACAAACAGCCTCTCCTCTTTCAGAAAGCAGTACCAAGACCGTTCCGTGACTGTCGTTTACTGAAGCGGTTCCTCTTGGGGTTGGACTCATCAGTGCCACCTTGACCTTTGGTGAGATGGCCACGCGATGGTCGCTCATTGATGCTGTACGAGTCAGGCCCATTGCCTCGACCACCAACAGTGCTAGAAGGACTAGGTGCATTTGAAGACATTTCGGTGAATCCATTGTCCGCTCCTTGCGCTACAAGATTCTGAGAGATGGCGAGATCGTGTGCTCGCTCTAAGCTGTTTATCCATTCCTCGGCGTAAGATGTGCCATTTTCTGAGGACGCTGTACCTTTAGTTTCTTCAAAGGTATATCGGTATCCACCCTGAGAATCATTCGCATTAACTAATGAACACTAAGAGTTCAATGCTCGGAATAGCAAACTTACGACGTCTACACACCAAACCAGTTGACCTTTGGCGTCATTGTGGGTGTGCCACGAGCTGTCTGGTGCGAGCAATGAAAGCTCCTGCTTAGATCGCTTTTCTTCTCCACCGGCAGGAGCAAGGACAATTCGTCCACTGGAAGTAACCATGACGAGTCTCTGCCGTTTTTTTGTTGTGCTACCCCCGAAGAAGCGGGACAGCTTTTTATGACCTTCATCTGCGCTCTTCCCATTGACACCGCCATGCGGGCTTGATATAACCATGAGATCAGCTAACTTGAGTATTCGTTCGTTATCTTTCGTGAGAACGGGGGACCATTCGATATCGAGCTGAGTAGGCGGTGGCAGCTCTGTAATGATCCGTCCTGGACGGGGAGTCGGTTTTTGGCTGGATTGCTGTCGATGTTCGCTAGTGTTGGGTGCGCTGTTGGGTGGACAGCCGTTCAACTGGATAATTGTTGGCTCTTGCGGCGGCGGAACGTACGGTCGAAGGCGTGGCGCTTGACACCTCCATAGCCCTCTTCCAAACTGCTGCCCTTCGAAGAATTCGTGGTTTTTTATGTGCTCGATAGTTAGCCTTCGGCTAGGATCAAGGACCAGGCAACGTTCAACGAGGTCGCTCGCAGCTGGGGGGAAACCAGGTGGGAATTCATATTCAAGATTGACAATTTTTTGGAAGGTGAGGTACTCGCTTCCAGCTTTGAATGGCGGTCTGCCGACGAGGAGCTGGAAAATAATACATCCAAATGCCCAAATATCACTGGATTTTGACGCAGTCTTATGTGTCAGGAGCTCTGGGCTCACATATTCTGCCGTGCCAACAAATGACGCGGCTCTGTCTTCGTCTTGGTCAGGCCCGGTAGCGCCAGTATGCGTAACACTTTGCGGGTCTCTTGGGTCTTGCAGTAGCTTCGCAGTACCAAAGTCTGTAATCTTCACATGCATATGGTTGTCGAGAAGAACATTCTCCGGTTTCAAATCACGATGAATAACTCCTCGAGAATGCATGTAGTCGATTGCATCCAGTATTTGAGCCCCGTAGAATCTTACGCAGTCGACATCGAAAGATCCCGTCTTTTTGAGGACGCCGAGAAGCTCGCCACCGTTGCAGAGATCCAGTACGTAGTAAAGAGACGCTTCATCCTGAAACGTATAGTAAAGTCGGACGATACCGGGGTGCTCGGTAAGTCTGTTGAGGGTGTTCTTTTCAATGTTGACGTATTTAATCTTCTTTTCCTTAATGATGTGCCGTTTTTCAAGCACTTTGATCGCGTACTCCTTGAGAGTCTGTTTGTCGGTCGCCAGGTACACGGTGCTGTATGAACCTTCTCCCAGTATCCGACCAAATGAGAAGTCTCGGACACCCTTTTTAACTTGACGTACAATCGACCTGCCATTGGCATCGATTTCTCGCCTGATTCCAACTGCAGCACCACGATCTTTCCAATCTTCTGCGCTCGTTTGGCCAGGTGCATTTCCGGAATATGTCGCTGGTTGGGCCAATTCATTGCGCAAAAGGCCATCGACTCGTCCTCTGGACAGTTGGCGGTGCGGCAAGGACTCATTTGTGCTTCCTGCAGCGAGCGCCATGAGCCTGTTTGACTGTTGTTGCAATGGCGACTCGCCGTAGCGGGTTTCGGATATGGCATGACTGTGTGCCGACATTGAATGCTGCGCTGGCGGGTCTGGTGCATCAAATGACGTGTGCGTGTGCGTGTGAGGCTGGCGATCGGTTTCATTGGGATAATGTTCCGTGCTGATGTTATTGGTACCTTCGGCCAGATCGCCGACAGAGGATAATTCGCGATCTGCGGTCGAGGTGTTGTTTGTGGTAGCTGCGTGAGGAGTTTGGTTGGCGTGCCTCGGGGGATGATCTTGCGTTGCTGCGTCAGGGTTGGCTATCCGAAGACCACCAAGAGCCTGGGAGAGACTCAAGTCCCCGTTCATTCTGGGAGTCCGGGGGCACCGAGCTGCTCCCTTGGACAATGAGCGGTGCAGTGACGATAAGGATGGATGATGCGTCTTTGCTTACTCCGCCACTCGGCCCACGGCTGCTCGACTAAGCAATTACCTAAAGTCGGCCACGGGTGTATAGGATAGCCCACCACCTTCTAGGACGGCCTAGATAGGTTTAGCGCACTTTAAAACTAGCCTAAGAAAAGAAAGACTCTTTTTTTGAATAAATTTAATATAAAAGTTAGCTTATAATTCTAATATTAATAAAGTCTAATATATTAAATTAAGTAAAATAAAGTCTTTAAATAAGATAAAGTTAATTTTATAAAAATAACTTTTTAATTATTATTTATTATTTACTTTTTAAGTTAGGAGAATAGTTTTAAAGATTTTAATAATCTTTTTAACTATCATTAATAAACTTTAAACTTTATTTAGTAAAAAAAATAAACTTTTTAAACTTAGTTTTAATATTATTATATTATAAAGTAAACTTAAAATTATATTAAATAACTTCTTTAATAATATAGGTATTATTTTTTATATTATTTTTTTTATTAAATATAGTTTAATTTTAGTATAAAGAAAAATAGATTCTAATTTAAATACTTTAGTTTTCCTTATCTTTTTAAAAGTAAAAGTATTAAATAAACTCTTTAACTTAACTTAAATAATATAATAATAATAATATAAAAAAAGGCATTTTTAATTATATTACTAGTTTAGGTATAATATAAGTATATACTATTTACTAGTTATATAAGTTCGTAAAACTAGTAATAATAAAAATATTAAAGAAAGTTTTTTATAAGTAAATTAATTAAAGAATTTAAGATTATAAAAAAGAAATAATTTTTAAGCTAGAAGTAATTAATTTAAGAAGATAGACTATTCCTTTAAGATAATAATTCTACTACTTGATTAATTCTTTTACATAAAATTTCTTATAACTTAATATTAGTATTAGGTAATCTAGTCCTTACAGACCCACCTACCGGTCAAGACGCGAGACACACCTTTCAACGCGTAAAGCCGTGGCTGATCGTGCCCCATCGTCTTTGGTAGCTACTATGTCGCGATGGAGACCAATAATTCTACCTCGTATCGATTTGCTTCAATCTTGCTGAACACCCAAAATCGCCGCAAACTACTACGCAATCTGCGCGGTGATTGAAACGATAACCTCGATTTGACTGGTCATGAATCATCAACGACATCCCGTGTCTGAGCTGGCCAACCTCGACATAAGCTTTGCTTGTTCGCCTTCTCCCTCTATTATGGACCGCTAGCAAGCGCTCCCGAATATGGGTTCAAGTATGTCTCGAGCATCTTCATGTGAACCAGTATCGGCATGACTTAATGTGTGCCATACAATTATAGTGGCTTACGCGCCGTTTCCACCGTCAAGGAACAAACTACCGTCGCTCCCGCACTATCATGTCGACTCACATTCCCGAGCGTGGACATCGACAACTCAGGACCCTTATTACTCAAATGAAGGTTTGTAAATACTTAAAGTGCGACGGTAACGTGATATTGACGCGTCGAAGATATCGAAATCTTGCATGAAATCGTCTCCATCGCCCAAGAAAAGCTAGATGATCCAAACGGCGCGCGATCGCTTCCTGCAGCTGCTCTTTTCAAGGCTTATGATGAAGTGCTCCCGAAGCATGGTATCGATCCAGATGATGAGAATCATCTTTCGCGGCTGATATTTCGTATTGGAGGAGAAAAGGGCTCCGGCAGTCTGCCCGAGAAATTCCAAGTCGTCTTGGCTAGCATGGGAATAGCACTAGAGTATGGAGACTCTAGCCCAATCTCACAGAGAGCATCGCGCTCATCGCGCTCCTCGTCGGATGACCCGAATCACCTTGGGATCGAGTGTCTGAAGCCATCATCAGCATCCAAGCGGCTTCATGGAAATCTTGGAGAGCTATCTACGCCGTGGCCCAGCGCTACAGAACACGAACCCGAAAGCATCGAAACAGAGTCCAAACCAGTGGCCAGATATTCACCCTCCACATCCATTCCTCTTCCGAATTTGAGCTCGTATCCGAGCTTTGAAAGTGTTTTGAGTGGCCCTCCTCAACCGCAAGGCACTCAACAGAGTTATCAACGAGGGACCGGTCATTTGTCGACGCAGCCTGTCATTACTCGCTTTGAAGTACCTACAGAGGATGTTCCTGGGTACCCGGAGGCCGGAATAGAGTTGCCTGTATTAAGAGCTGCCTTGACGCGACCATCAGTTCTTGCCATACTCGATCGATGGCGTAGTGCGAGCAAGAAGAGGGAAACTCGAGGTGCATCTTCACTGCCGTTGTTGGATCGCATGGCTTCACCCACAATCGACACTCAAAGAATGGCAGGACCTGGCACGAGAGAGTCTTGGAAGATCAAGTCTCCAAGAGCAACTCTATTTCTTCCTCGTCACGCAGAATCATCAATCGAGGTGGACACAAAGCAGCTCACAGTCAAGAGCTCGCTTCTGCCTGCTCCCACTGCCCATCATCGTCTGGCAACGTCACGAGAGCAGGACGTTAGGCACCATGGTGATTACACTACTATACTTAACCGTGCTGGCCGGGCCCGAGAAATATACCTAGCCAGCAGAGCTTTCAATCACTGGGCCGAAATAACTGCGGCCAGATTAGAGAAAGAGGCCGTAGCGCGCCGACACATGATTCGGTTTCGCTGCTTCCGAGGTTGGAGCAATGCTCCGAACTCGAGGGCACCTGTCATCAACTATCTTAGAGCCGCCACTGCCGTGCAAAAGCTGCGCCGTGCTGTTGCCTGCCAAGAGGAGCAGTTGCGAGCAGCGGCATCAGCCATATACGAAACATATCGCATCCACAAAGCGAAACGCGCGATGTGCCAATGGCTCTGCAGTACTGCTCGACAAAGAATCCGACACGAAACCACACAACGTGCCAAACGGGGCATTGTTCGGTTGTGGCATAACCTAACGACCTTGCACCAAAATCAAGCGGAATTGGCGGTTAAAAACCGGCAATGTATTCAGAAAAATCATCTGATACACCATTGGGCCAGCAAGGCTCAGCAAGCGGAAAGACAGCTTGCTGTCAGTAAACAGGTTGGATTGGCCCGGCCGATGTTTGCTCATCTAGCGGCCTGGTGGGATCACACCGAAGTTGAACAGAGGGCACAGGTATATCGTGCCAACCTACTCTGGAAAAGAGCACATTTTTCCTTGGATAACTGGAACTTGCGCGCCCGGGCCCAGGCATTTGTTTGGCGAAGTGACTACCAGAGTGCCACCTGTGCATTGACCAAGTGGATTCGTGTGATCGAGAATGGAAGAACGCAGCAGTGCAGAGCAGCTTGCGCTATTGAGCGGTGCCAAGTCACGGCTGCTCTTAGCCGAGTTGAGCACTTTCTCGACTATACGAGCAAACTTGAGTATTACGCATATCGAGCCCGACTATTCATCATGGCATCAAGATTCCTACGGGTGTTTGATCGTGCTTATGAAGCCAAGAAGGCTTCTCGAAAAGAAGAGATAAGGCAGCAGCTCAGGGCTCGCTACAAGGAGGTATCATCCGCAAGGAAGAAGAGGCAATTCCATTCTGCATTGCGCTTATGGCGTTCTTCGGCACAGAGGTACAGTTCTGTTGCTGCCGAGGCGAAGGAGCATCTTGAATCACAGACGCGGAACCTGAAGCTGGATGCAGTTCAAATATGGCTAGCGGCAGCTAGCCAAAACAAGGAGCAGCGTGCTACTGGGCAAAAATATGCAGTGCATCATGTACTGAGCAATTGGCGAGAGCTCTCCGAACAATCGGCGCAGCAGGATGCGCAAAGCTGGAACATGTGGGTACAGCGCAAGCAGCGGCAAGCCTTGAAATCGTGGTCAATCTCTTCTTTGCAAGGAAGTGGTCGAGGACACACGGCGGCAATGGTCCAGCAAAGACATAATGCAGATAAAAGAAGCCGGGCATTCCAAGTTTGGCGACATTCAAGACAAGTTTTAGAAGCTACTGATGCTAGACACCCTTCGGTCACACCGCACCACCAGGCCTTCAATGGCCGACGATCCTGGAAAACGATATCGGCAAGGAAGTCAACTGCTCAACCTGGGGTTGTTTCCCAGTACCTTCGAGCCTTCGACACGCCTGCGGCTCCTCTAGATACTCCTACACGGTGGACCGGGAGGCCACTGGCAATGTCGAGCACATTGGCAAATACCATGCCCTCTTTCAGAGAAGCAGACGAGCAGTCTGCGACCTCCTCCAGGTTCAGCGATGAGGCTGGGACCGGTTATGATTTGGCATCAAGCACAAGAAAACCTCGTCAAGTTCTCCACCGTGGTCTAGTATTCCGACCTGGCAAATCAGCCTCTACGACGCCGCAGGTGCCAGTGCCCACGGATCTACGACGAAGCATTGAGGTTCGAAACACGGCCTTCAACAAGTCAGCGGTTTCTACCATCTCAGAGCAGTCATTTCAGCCGAATATCTCGTTGATCAAGCATCGGACAGGCGAAAAGCAGCTTCCAGGTTATACTGATTCCGCGATTACCAATGGAGTGTCGGCCAGGCTTATGTCACGAAGCCAGATATCTCCGACTGAGAATTGGCGCGGCCCTACAATACCAAGCAGGCAGTCAATGAGAAACCCTGTCAGGAGCGATCTCAAGAATGACCCCTACGACTGGTTACGCGCGGCCAAGACATCACCTCAATCGTCACGATTTGCTGGAGGTGGGCGAATTGGTTGACGATGGATGCAAGACGCAATATCATGGAGACGCACAAACGTGAAGTATAGAAGCTTCGCGCACCTGCAAGCGAACCTTTGACATGTCTATGTGTAGTTCAGATACTTTTTGCATATCTGGGGAGTCTCATTTCTGGGGCATAGTTGTTGCCTGGCAGTAACGTTTGTTTTGGTATTAAAGTGAAGTAATAGCATTGATCGACTTCTGTCTTCTTCTTTATCTAGTTTTATGATCATTGCTTCTAAGTGTACTGAAGGAGACTGCCGAAATCCCGTACATAATGATACACCAAAACCAAGCTGATAGACCTAGGGTAGTCGCAAGGCCAAGAATTCGTCAGTCGAGATCGATGATGCACGGGGCCCCACATAGATAGCATGTGAGCTCCCAAGACATCCCGTGCACCGAGCTTGAACTTCGAAACGGCCGACATCGTTGAAACTGCAGTGCCAAAATACACGACAATCTGGTAGCATGAGCGCCGTTCTACCAGGAAAGCCGCAGTCAAGGCTTCAAGGATTCGCTACTGGCCTCTGGGCCAACAAACACGTCAATGTGAGCTTTCCTACCACGCGATCGTGGCTAAGCTGATTTATTCGTTGCAACAACACAGGCTTATATCACTGGCAGTGCGCTGACGATTTTGGACGACCCGCAAAAAATCATACAAGCTATCTACGATGAAAATGATGACGAACTTGAAGCCATCGCCTTTGACGATGCGAGTGGCAAGATAGCTGTCTGTACTACCAACTCAATCCGAGTGTATCGACCGAGCGCCCGATTTGAAGATCCATACAAGGTCAGAATGGCCACTAATTGATACATCTACAACCGGACTGAGCTGACACCAGACAGTGGGCATTAGAAGCGTCTTTCGAAACACCACAAGCCGCAACTGGAGAGTCATTTGCGTTGTCATGGGGCCGAGAAGAGGAACTTCTCGCTGCATCATCTGCATTGTCACTTTATTCTACGAAAGAGGAGATTCGATGCTCATGGCAGAAATCACTTCCAAACAAGGCCAAAGTTGCGACTCTTTCATACGACTCAGCCTACATTGCCTCCGTCTCTCATCATGATAAGTTGCCAAAAGTGTGGCGTCGGCTAGCGTACGGTCGAGACGAAGTTCGGTTCGATCACTCATACCTACCGCATCCAGATGTGGTCACCATGGTACGCTGGCGGAGGCCCCTCCATGTGGACCAATCTGCGAGCAATGTTCTCTATACATTCTGCCTAGACGGTTTGGTCCGTATCTGGGCTACTACGGAAACGGCAGACGGGCAACACTGGCAACTTTGGGGGTCTATCAATATTAATGCTACCTCTAGTGATCTACAGAGCGACTTGTCCAGCTGGATTATCTGTATCGTTGATGGGCGTGAGTTCATGCCCTGTGTGGAGCATCTAGTTCAGGTGCGAATGTCCGACGATCCTTCTACAGACGAAGTAGCTATGGAACACTTGGTGGCTGTTGCAAACAAGTCACCAGAAGTATGTCTGGCGATAAACTGCAATGGCATAATGTCAGCTTGGGCTATAGACAGTGCTGGCAACAATAGCCCCCAGGGCGACCGTGTGTTTAATATTGCTCAAGTCAGGTCACCGGCTTTGGAATCACTGGAAGGCTTCACGATTTTGTCAGAGATGTCCCATATCGAAGCCCAGTCATATTTTGACAAGAAAAGCGGCCAACTAGCGCTTCTTCTGCATTCATTCGATGGCAGAATTGGCGTGTTTTACAGCGATGTCGCAAATTTGTTCAGCCCTACAACAAACGATCAGCGGATTGCTCTCCAAACTGTTTGGTCGGGGCATTCGGCCCCTGTTACCAAAATTAATCGTAACTTCAGCGGGCGTGCAGTGGTATCAAGAACCGAAACAGGAGAGTGTATTGTGTGGAATCATCCGGAGCATCGTTCTGCACCAAATTCTGGCCTCAATCGAAGGAGCGTCATAACACATCCCGGTCACATTCTCAGGGTTTGCGTTCTTCGCAAAGGCAGATTCGTTGTCTTTCTTGATACAGACAGCGTTTCTCTATGGGACTGTCGGTCCAGTAGAGCATACATGCTTGCCAAGTGTTCAACTCAGTGGAGCGGAAGGGCCCTTTGTTTAATTGCCCTGCCTCGCGCAGAACCTAGCGCAAGAACGAAAGCCCATATCTCTATGATAACATCCGAACGTACTGGCATTGTTTGGGAGGTCAACTTGCCAGCGTATACCAAGAGGGCTCATGGCATAGCTACTGGTCGTATCGATGAGTTCTGTCGATTTGAGCTGGATGTCGCCAATGGGCTGAAATACGTTCTTCCTGTTGACCCTGCTGGCAAAACGCCTGTTGCATCGGGCTTCCTGGATGTGTTTGCCCGAGATGTTGCCATCTCTTATACAAAGAGCGGTTGCGTCAATTTTTGGACCGCGAGAGTGGATTTGCAAAAGCAGAGAGTTGATTGGCTTTCCACCTGCTGTACAGAAACTGGGATGGAAGAACCGGCGCTAGCGAGTGGAAGCACTCTGAAAAAAGCTGCATTGGTAAATGATTCACGGTCCCAACTCACAATCTGGGATATTGGTGGCTCCCGCCTGGAATTTGAAGAAAATTATGATGCACATAATCTCATACAGGACCTGGATTGGACTTCGACGCCGGATGGACAGTCAATACTGGCTGTTGGATTTCCGTACCGAGTCATCCTACTTTCCCAAATGCGTTTCGACTACCTAAATCAAGGACCAGCATGGGCACAAATCCGCGAAATAAGCATACGAGAGCTTACGCCTCATCCTATCGGGGATTCGACATGGCTTGGAGACGGTCATCTTGTTATTGGTGCTGGGAATCAATTGTTTGTCCAGGATCGGCTTGTCAATAGCGATGATGCTAATATGCTGGACATTCGATTACCGCAGCGACGCGATGGTTCCTGGGATATCTTTGAAGCTGTTCAAAGATTCAATGGCCCCCTGCCTATATTTCATCCTCAATTCCTGAGCCAATGTGTTCTCTCTGGAAAAGGTCTCCTCGTTGGGCGAATTCTTAAGTCTCTGCATAAGATTCTGAAATATATTGTTCCAGGGGAACCTGTCGACGACTATGTGGGATTAGACGTGACAGAAATTTATGAGGGAACAGTAAGTCAAAGATTCGGAAGTTTGAATACATGAACTAATAGCCGAAGCATGTGATGGAGCCGCTTTCCAAGAAAGGTCAAGTGCAGTATCTAAGTTCTGAAGCTGATGAGCACGATGATGAAGAGGAGCCCTTTCAAGAGACTACAGCAAACTCTCTCAATGAATTGCTGAAGAAAGTTCGGATTCCACAACTCTCTGGTCACGAGCAAATTCAGCTCATGGACATGATTGAGTGTACTGCATTTGTCGAGAAGCACCGCCGATCCATGGATGAGAACGGCGCGCGTTTCATGCTGTTCTTTCGCCAACACGCACTTCGAAAAGGACGAACCAGTGAGATTCAGCTATCTTGGAGAGAAATAGATTGGGCGTACCACTCGACTACTCAAGATATCCTTGTTGGCTTTGTCGCACGGCAGACACATGGGCCTATGCTCTGGAAGCATGCTCGGGAAAGCGGCCTCTTCATGTGGATTACGGACGTGTCTACTTTGCGAGCACAGTTCGAGAACGTGGCAAAAAACGAATACACTAACAGCGAGACCAAGAGTCCTGTCGATTGCAGTTTGTTTTATTTGGCTCTAAAAAAGAAAACCGTTCTTCAGGCGCTCTGGCGCATGGCTGTCGGAAACAAGGAGCAAGCAGCGACGCAGCGATTGCTACTTAACAACTTTGAGGAGGACAGGTGGAAGACAGTGGCTCAGAAGAACGCGTATGCACTGCTAGGAAAACGTCGTTTTCGTAAGTTTATTACCCTTCCTGGCTCTATTTCGGGCTAATATAGTAGAATACGCTGCGGCTTTTTTCCTTCTTGCTGGCAGACTTGGTGATGCTGTCGAAGTCTGCCTCCGCCAGTTGAAGGATATCCAGCTAGCTATTGCAATAACTCGTGTTTACGAAGGCGATAGCGGCCCAATTCTGCGCAAGTTACTGCAAGACGAAGTTTTACCATTGGCAGCTCAGGAAGGCGATAGATGGTTAGCGTCGTGGGCTTTCTGGATGCTTGGACGAAAGGATATGGCTGTGCGGGCGCTAATAGTATGTTAACTTTCGACCGCAGTTCTATTTGTCACTGACACTTGACATAGACCCCAGTCTACACCTTGTTGGAGACTCCGACCTCCCCGGACTTTCGCTCCCGGCTATTCTTGACAGATGATCCAGCCTTGGTCGTTCTATATGGACAGCTACGTCACAAGAGCCTACAAACCTTACGTGGTGCTTCAAAAGTGAATCCAAGAGTAGAATGGGAGTTTATTTTACACAGCGCGAAGATATACGATCGTATGGGGTGTGATCTTCTGGGTCTGGACTTAGGTAAGCGAAATCATGAAGATATGTTTCGCGATATGGAACTTACGCAGAGACAGTGAGAAACTGGGAATTTCAGCAACCATCCACGACAGGCATTGGTGGAGAGGCTAATCCGTTAAAGCTTCTGCGACGTAGGAGCTCTCTTGTTGTCAACGATCTGCCTCTAATGCAACTGCAGACAGGATTGCCAGACCCAAACAAGGGAGGCGCGAAGAAAGAAGCTCCAGCTCCAACTACTTTCGAAGAGCCGGATGCAGGCTCGCTCCTCGATAGCTTTGGATTGTAATGTAGGAGAATATAGTATATCCCGTAGCCTGTCATATATATCATCGACACAGTCTTGAGACTACTCAATACAAAATGCGTATGCGTTGTTCGGGTAATAACAAACTAAAGCTGGGTTACACAGCCACTTACTTACCTATTGGTGATGCTTCACAGTGCTAGCGCACGCTTTCGTGACATCGCTGGTCGCGCTGCAGCGGGTACGGCAGCCTAAACTTTCCACGTTCATGACTAATCTAACAAGGATCGCCTCGCAGCGTCCTCACCTCAATAGCTGTTTGTAGACTACAGCTTCTTCAGCATCAACACGCTTTGGAACGGGCCTACGTAATCGTCAAAAAGGCGAAGACAATGGCGCCTAGTATACCCGGGCAGAATTTCACCATCCGCGCAGTCACAGCCGGTCTAGCCATCGGCACAGTCATCTGTGCGGCCAATGTCTACTTTGGACTTCAGACAGGATGGGTCTCCATCATGTCCATGCCGGCAAGTCTGATGGGTTTTGGCATTTTTCGACTGCTGAGAAGTCATATCGAACTCCCGTTTTCGCCCGTGGAAAATGTTTTTGTCCAAAGCGTTGCATGCGGTATGGCCATCATGCCGCTCGGCTGCGGATTTGTTGGTGTAGTGCGTATCAACGATCAGGGAGGCTTTGGCCACTCCGGCTCGAATCTCCGACCAGACAATTTCTCTATTATTTCTGACTAAGCTTCAGATACCTGCTATTGACTATCTCCTTTCTCCAGAAGAAAGAGGGTCGCTAAATTTGAGCACATGGCAGCTTGTGATTTGGTCGCTGGGCCTTTGCTACTTCGGCGTCGTTTTTGCGGTGCCTCTGTACGACATGCCCAGTCATGATTCGACTTCGTATAATCGGTGTTCAATTGACTAATGTTCAATAGGCGCAAGCAAGTTATTATTAGAGAACGCTTGCGATTCCCGAGCGGCTTTAGTACTGCCGTTCTTATATCTGTGCTTCATGGCCAGGGTACGCAGTCTAAGCAAGCACTAGATAAGGCATCGAAGGGCGGGTTCGCCAGTCTTGTTCCTCAAGACAACGACAATGATGAGCAAGCAGAAGAAGTGAGTGTGGCTGCACGGGGGGGTGAGCCTGCTATAGCACAGAGTGGCACGGATTGGGCAGCAAACTTGAGACTTCTGCTCCTTTGTTTCACCATATCAGGATTTGCCACTCTTCTGACGTACTTCTTTCCTGTTCTTCGAAACATACCAGTTTTCGGGACTGCAGCAGCCAAAACGTGGCTCTGGACGCTGAATCCCAGTCTCGCATACGTCGGGCAGGGCATCATCATGGGAACAGAGACGACTATGCATATGGCACTTGGCGCTTTCGTTGGATGGGCCATTCTGAGTCCTCTGGCAAAGTACAGGGGATGGGCTCCCGGCCCAGTCGATGACTGGGACAGGGGAAGCAAGGGTTGGATTGTTTGGATTTCCTTAGCCATCATGTTGGTGGACGCCGTCGTCAGCCTTGGCTACCTCGCCACCAGGTCACTGTTCCTGAGGGACTCCAATCTCTCACTTCCTTCTTTACTTAATGCCGTTCGACGAAAGTCTTTTGGGAAATTGTTACCAGGTAGTAGAGCTCGCTATGCCCTCCTGCAGAGACAAGATGACGATTCGACCGAGGATGAGGATGACGTACCTGCATACTGCGCCGAGCAAAAGGATGAGGACGCTCCGCAGGCCCAGCGTATCAGCAATAGAGCTGTCGTCATTGGTTTGTTGCTCTCAATTACTCTCTGTATCTTCACGATACATACTTGTTTTGGAGACATGGTACCCCTACACGCTACAGTAATCGCGGTCTTCATGGCGCTTGTACTAAGTATTATGGGTGTCCGGGCTCTCGGCGAAACTGATTTGAATCCTGTGTCTGGTATAAGCAAGCTGGCACAGCTCTTCTTTGCGTTCATTATTCCACAATCGAACAAATCGAGTGTACTCATCAATCTCGTTGCCGGAGCAGTGGTCAGTGGATTCCCCTTGTCAGTAGTGTTTGCTGACCCGACAGCTAATACTTCCTGTAATTTAGTCTGAAGCGGTAAGTGCTATACTGCAATTGCGACAGCGAGGATGAGAAAGCTCACATTCCACATTGAAAAGGGTGCCCTACAAGCTGGAGACCTGATGCAAGATCTGAAGACTGGCCATCTACTTGGTGCATCTCCTAAAGCGCAATTCTGGGGACAGATGATAGGAGCAACGGTTGGAGCAGTACTCAGCGCCTTTATCTACCGTCTATATACGCGGTAAGCAGTCATTCGGAGCGTTTTAGGATCTACTGTCCGTTACTCATATCGCTCAGTATATATGAGATTCCCGGTGATCTCTTCCAGGTCCCTACGGCGTATGTCTGGATCTTTACTGCGCGTTTAGTCACAGGTCAAGGCTTGCCTTACATGGCCAAAGAATGGGCAATCGCTGCTGGTGCACTTTTCGCTTGTGTCACTGTACTGAGAACTGTTGCTGTTGGCAAATCGTGGCGCTCGTGGATACCGGGAGGTATTGCTGTGGCGGTTGGTAAGCTGAGCTGCAGCATCGAAATATTCTGCCTTTATTAACGACTTGACTAATTAGGCATGTACAATGTGCCTTCTTTTACCCTTGCCAGGGCTGCCGGTGGTATACTGGCTTGGGTCTGGCTGCACGTCATGAGGCGCTCCAGCACACCACTCATCATTCTAGCTTCGGTAAGGCAATGTCGCTTAAATCTCTACGAGCACGTACTAACAATACAGGGGTTCATCCTTGGTGAAGGATTTTTGAGTATCGCAAATTTGGTCATGGAAGGGCTATCCGTTCCTCATTATTAAGAACCAAGCCGAGTCTGTCTTAACTCATTTCAGTTTCCACAGTCGGCCTCTCTCCTCCTGACCTTCTTCAGTACATGTCAGTTGAATATCAAGAGCTCTGGCATTTTCCTCCGAGGCAGAAAAGCCGATTCGGCCGGTCAGTTTTGGCTGCGAGGCCTTCAGCTGTGTGGATGGTTGGAGCAAAAGCCCTTGCTTCCAGTGCGTTTCCTTTCCAAATGGTCCAGTAGTAAAAGCCACATAGCCAGGCTTCTGTTTCACGAAGCTGTCAGGCGTTATTTCAGGTGCTGGTACTCTATCGGCCCGGCAATTCACGAAGAAGTTATCGAACCAAATCAGAAAGCCATCCAATGAATCGACATCGCGCGTTATTTGAGATTCCCAGTTCGCAGTGAAAAACAAGTCCTCCGGCTTCACAGTATGGAGATCCAGAATCTTGAATGGGCATGGCTGTCCGCATACTGCAGCAGGCGGCACTGTGAGGATCCTGGCCTCGTCGTAGATGCACTCCTGCATGGCCTTCATGTCAAATCCGTAAACATCTCTCCAAAACGAGACAGTATCCGTGACGTATTCTGAATCTTGGACCGGTGCCACCCAAATGGTAGCAGAGCTGGGCACGAGGAGGCCGTCAGGTCGAAGATACTTGTCGCGCGCGTATAAAACGCTAGGCAGCATAGCCTCATAAAGCAGGCAATAGCCCATCCACTCGCTGACAATAATGTCAACCTGATCAACAGGGAGCTTTACGTCCTCAATAGCACCACGCAAGCAAGTAATAGTTCCTGCCAGCCCATTGTTGAATACATTCTCTCGAGCTTTATCGATGATGTCCGACTTGTCCACCGCGATCACCTGCGCAGCACCGGCCTTAGCGCAGAACATACTCAGGATTGCTGAGGGCGTTAGCCACGTTGAACTGCCTTAGAGCTTGCTTTCCTTCGCTTGCTTTCCTTCGCTTGCTTACCTGTTCCGCATCCAATGTCTAGAACTGTTTTCCCCTGAAATAATTGCTTGTTCTCGTAGATGAAGTCACGGTATGCGTTGGTACGGACCTCATCTTTGAGCATAGTCTCGTGAATTTCTACGGCACGGCATGTTAGCTGGTTGCTGGACTTCACCTTGTCACCCAAAACAGTATTCGTTACCGTTGTAAGCATACGACTCGAAGTAATAATCCGAAGAGTCCTTCTTTTTTTCGCTCAGGGTTCCAGCCTCGTTTTCGTCGCCCCACCGCTTGTCCAGTGTCTCCTCTACGGCCAGTCGATAACTAGCGAACCGTTCATTGATGGCGGCCAGTTCGGCCTCAAGCTCTTTATTTCTGGCTTCGACAGATGTCCTCTTCTCGGATGAGTCATGTCGGGGATCCTCGGGACCTTCGTTGAGAATCTCATCCAGTGAGAAGAGCAAAGCGTCGTTCTCAAGGACGGGTTTGAGATACTTATCGTCGGAAAAGTCTCGAGTCGAGATAGCTGTGGGCAGATTCTGCTTCTCCTTCGTACGAGCTCGGATAAAATTTATCAGTTTAATAGCATCGTGGAACTCAAGTTCAAGACGGTGCACGGTAGCGACCAAATCGAAGGCGTACTGAGACGTGCAGTAGGTAAGAAGACCCTCCAGGCTAGAGAAAGTCTTGGCATCAAACAGTGATACAAAGACAATTTTCTCCTCATCAGGCTCTACATCCAACCAGTCGGCTGTATCCGAGTTTTCGGAATCGCTGGAAATGGACATTTGATCGAAGTCTTTGCTTTAAAGGTCCAACTTTAGCTTGGACGGCGTGATGTTGTTCTGGTAGTTCTTTCTCGCGGGCCCACAGATGATGTTAAAACTCGTCACTCCACTTTGCAATTTCGCAAGTTGCCATAGCACACCACCTTTATTTAGTGCCAATGCCCGAGAGGTAGGCGGAGCAGAGGTGTTACTAGTTAGCTACAGCGCAAAAGATTGTGGATATTCTCATTCTGGACTTCGTTTGCTTTCGGCTCTAGTCGACATCGTTCTCCTCATCGCTGCTTTCGTCCTCCTCACCATCTGATACTGGTTCGCCTAGCTCACGAAGGCGTTTCTGTAGAGAAACAAATTGAGATACATGTTAGTCGTACCGGTGAGGGATAGCTTCACCAATGGCGTCGTACCTTTTGCTTTGCCGCTGAGTCTTCCAGATCCGTAAAGACTATCAGCAGATCGTCGAGCTCGGATTGGACGCTCTCTTTCTCCCTTCTACTGCTTGCGAGTACTGATTCGATCTGGCATCGCGTTAGGCTTGCTTCCTCAAGCAGAAACACATGACATACTTTGGCGGTGGCATTGCGCGCTTCATCCAATTGTCGCCTGGCTTCTTCGAGCTGTTTTTCTAATTCCTTCGTCTTGTTCTGCAACTTTTTTATCGTCGCGGTCTGCTTTTCACGAGAGAAATGCAGTTCGTTGCGTAGTTCGTCGGCTTCGCGTGACTTGGCTTGTAACTCACTTTGCTTGTTTTGCAAATCTCTTTCGCGTTCATTCGTTGCCTGTTTTGGATTTTTCTCAGATTATTAGATTGCGAAGTTGATTGTGCTGGATTGCCAGAAAACCTACCTTTTGCAAAGAGGCTTCTAGGCTACTGACGGTTGCGCGAAGGTCGGCAATTTCACCGTCACTGCGCCTTTTTATGTGCTCTGCCTCTGTTATGGCAACTTTTTTCACTGCTATCAATTGCTGTTCCAAAGCAGAAACCTTGGCAGCAATAGCCGCTTCCATGGACGCAACGTTTTTCTCAAATTCTGCTTCTTTCTTCATTAAAGCGGACTCCAAAGCTACAATTTGCTTCTGGCTTTCGGCATCCTTCGCAGACTGAATGCTCTGCATTTTCCTTGTGATGGTCAGAGTGGGTGTTCTCGCCAGAAGTGTTGCAAACGAACCTAATTTCTGCTTCGTGGGACCTCTGAGTACCTTCCTGTACTGCTTTGGCGGCCGCTGTTTCTCGTTTGGCATCCTCTCGAACCTTCTGCAGTTCTTTGTTTGCTTCCTCTTTGAAATGGCGGTGTTCCCACTGCTCTTGGCCAAGGCGTGATGCTTGAGACTCAGAAGCCAACTTCGCTTCCGCGATCGCCCTATCTTTCTCTCGGATTTGCTCGCGCAGAGAATCTACCAGTTCTCTAGAGATTCCTTTCTGGACACCATTGGTGATGACAGAAATCTCAAGCTCCGGGCTTCTATCAATGGCTCTCGCGATGCGACTATAGTTGTCTTTGAAAAAGTTGACAAACACAGAGTCAAAATACACGTCCGCTAAGCCACTGAGTAACGCCGGGTCTCTCCTCTGCGGTAATGCTTCAAAGTCTCGCAGCAAAGGATGTGAACGCAGTTTGAGGAGTCGCTGAAGATATTGCTCTCGATCTAGCCGAGTGATCAGGATAGAATGCAACGTCGTTCTAGTCACGGGCGAATCTTTTGTAGAAAATTCATAAGCAATGCCGAGAAGCATGGCGCAAAGTCCCTGAACTAGTTCGCTTCCCTCCAGGATAGGCTGCGAAATGACTTGAATGAGACTCTGAATATTGCTCCCCTCGGACAGGAAATCGTTCACTGCGTCCAAGTCTTCGAACAGCCATATTGTCAGAAGCATCAAATAAGCGACCGATATACGTGCATCAGCACCTCGCCGAATACCTGTCAGGAGATGTGCTGTAACGGTCTGGATGCTTGTCACTAGCTCCTCGTCCTCGGCAGCATCGCCTTCGGTAAGCGAAAGGGCTTTCGTTTTGGCAGCAGAGTTATCGTATAGCAAGTGAAACGTAATGACGGCAGCAAACCAGAGGTGATAAGGGTCGCTTGCCGCTTGATCGGCAGAGGGCGCCAGCAAAACAGTCAGTGCATTAGTTGTCTCTTCACTGCCTGTCAGGTAGCCTTCAATAGCTCTTGTTAGAAAATGCAGTCGAACGTTCAAATGATTAGAGAAGTAGGCTTTGAGGCACTCATTAGCCGCATAACGAACGTTGAAAGCTGCGCTATCTTGCAGATTCAGGATAAGGTCAAGCAGTCCATCAATGACGTATACCTGTGAGCGAGGTCTGAGTTCATTTGCAGAGAGACGGCTGCCCCCTACCCGTAAGACACTAAGCTGAGCAAAGTTCTCCTGCAACACTGCAGAGTCGCGAATCATATCACCGCACGCGATCAAGCCCTTGAAAGGGTTAGCTCAACGACTCGCCACGCAACTGACTAGGCATAACTCTACTCACTTCCGCTCTAATTTCCATCTGAACATCTGGGCTGAAGGCTAAATGAAGTACGTCGGCGCAAAGCCGGTGCTTCCAGAGTAGCTCTTGGTTGCGTGAAACGCCAGCGGAGCCAGGTGTAAGAAGTAGCCGCAGAATTGCTAGAAACGCGTACAGATTTCTGTTTCTTTGTGATTGGGCCCAAATTGCCACATCTTCGCCATTTTCGGGTTGCAAAACACTGTGCAACAGGTCCGCTAACTTTTTCATACATCCAGATTCACGAAATAGGGTCTGGTTTGAGGCATTGCGACGAAGTAAATTCGCCAACAGAATGAGACAGTCCTCTACAGTTCTTCCACCTTCTGATAGCGACCCATCGGATTCAATAATTGCGAACAGTTTTTCGAATGCGTTTTCGAACGCGACTAGCTTCTGTATATCGATCGAAGCCGGTGTCAAGCTTGTAAGAAGGTTTATGCCTTCATTTCGAATCGCATCACGTTGATCGTCGAGAGTCGCAACTAAGCGAGGTATGCCGAGCGGCGCGGTAAATATGCATTCCTCTGTTCGTTCAGTTCTAGCAGAAAGAATTGCTCCCAAAAGTTGTAGCGAGTACAAGCGGGAGTAGAAGTCGTTCGTTTCGAGAAAGTCGAGCAGTAAGGTAACATTCTCCTGGCGCTGTGTGAACTCATCAGCAAGCCACAAGACAACCTCATCAGACGTCTCGGGGCTATCTTCATTAGGTGTGAAAAGCATGAGCAACGTTTCTAGCACAACTTTGACAGTATCAACATCCTCTCCGTCCTTTGCAAGGCTCCCAATGAGCCCTCTCAAAGCGCTAGAGGAGACGGTGGCTGGGAAGTCTTTTGCAAACGATCGTAGCCCCAAAATTGCCGCCCGGCGGTCTTCTAGCAGAGTAGCAGAGCCTAACCTTCCGCTAAGTACAGAGATGGTATCCGTCGCGGACTGCTTGGCCGGTGCTGTCGCGATTGAGAACATAGCGTCGGATGTGCTGCTATTGTGATTTCTGTGCCATTGAGTTTCTTGGGTGTGAATCGGTCGGTTTATTTACAGTCTGTTCAATGCAACAGAGTCGGCCGTGGTGAGGTTTCTCCACTGTTGCAAAAGGAGACGGAGGTTTTGCTGTCCTCAGTGTTTGAAGAAGCTCCGCCGGCCCAGGTAGATAGATGTTGGAATAGGTAAGGAGCTCTGTCCCACCCAGGTCTGGAGGAGCTCCCACGCCACGCATTGCAGCTCCAGATAGTTCTTTTGCATTAACTGCTATTATCTCTATGAATAGTGTGGCATCTCAAATTTTGGCCCGTACTGTCTTCAATTGTGAAAAGTATGCTAGGCAGCCTGTCCAATGAATGAGCTGTGGCCTGCCCGTAAGCTCGTCTAGGTCGCTAAATTACATAAGCAAGTTATCTTATCAGCCTATGTACTGAATACATTCTGATTTTCTCACGTCGCGACTAAGCTTCGATGGGCGAGTACCTGATCGCTGTACTCGAAGGAAGAACTTATTCAAGCTGACTATCTTGTGCGATATATTTATGGCCGTCATCTTTTGTTGTCAATGAGAACATCAGATAGCTCCTGAAAGATCAGCATTGCAGCTTCAGCAAAGAAGTACCGCTTCACGCCTATTCGACAGCAGCATACGGCCGTGCACATTGCCACCAAGTAATACCGAGAATTCAAAATGGGTATTCCAGCTGCCTTTCGATGGCTTTCGAACAAGTATCCGAAGATCATATCTCCTGTGGTCGAGGATCGGCCCATCGTCATGGACGATGGCACCGAGATACCAGTCGACATTACTCGTGCAAATCCAAACGGCGAAGAGCTGGACAATCTCTATCTCGACATGAATGGCATTGTTCATCCCTGTGCACATCCGGAAGACAAGCCAGCCCCTAAAGATGAAGAAGAAATGATGCTTGAAATCTTTAAGTACACGGACAGAGTGGTTAACATGGTTCGACCACGAAAGATTCTCATGATAGCAGTCGGTACGTCTCGCGGTGTCACAGTAATTGTTGTTCTCTTAGCTTCATATCGCTAACGGTCCACTAGATGGCGTTGCGCCCCGTGCCAAGATGAATCAACAACGATCGAGACGATTTCGATCGGCACAGGAAGCCAAAGAAAAAGAAAATGACAAGCAAGAGCTGATCAAGCTGCTCAAACAGCAAAATGGGGGCAGTCTTACTGCTGAGAGCACTGAATCTGTAACGAAGAAAGCATTCGACAACAATTCGATCACGCCTGGCACACCTTTTATGGATATACTGGCAAGCAGCCTTCGCTATTGGTGCCAGTATAAACTGAATACGGATCCTGGTTGGGCGAAACTGAAGGTCATTATCTCAGACGCCACCGTACCAGGCGAGGGCGAACATAAGATCATGAATTTTGTTAGATCCCAGCGCGCTAGCCCCGATTATGACCCTAACACTCGGCATGTCATCTACGGTCTGGACGCTGATCTGATTATGCTGGGACTTGCAACTCACGAGCCGCATTTTCGCGTCCTGCGCGAAGATGTCTTCTTTCAGGACAGCAAAGCTCGGGCCTGTAAGCTTTGCGGTCAGAAAGGGCACGATGCGCAAAATTGCAAAGGTGAAACAAAAGAGCCAACTGAAGAGTTTGACGCAAAGAACAATGCATTGACACTTAAGCCTTTCATTTGGCTGCATGTCTCCGTGCTAAGAGAATACCTGGCCGCTGAACTCGCAATTCCTGAGCTCCCTTTCCGTTTCGATCTCGAGCGCGTCATCGATGACTGGATCTTCATGTGCTGCTTTGTAGGAAATGACTTTCTTCCACACTTACCGGCTCTGGAAATACGTGAACACGGCATTGACACCCTTACAACCATTTGGAAACGCAATCTACCCGCACTCGGTGGTTACATCACAAAAGATGGTCACATTGACTTGGAACGAGCTCAGTGTATTTTGGACGGACTTGCTGGGCAGGAAGATATGATTTTCAAGAAGAGAAGAGAACAGGAAGACCGCCGTGAAGCGAGTGCAAAACGTCGCCGACTGCAGAATAATGGCGCGACCGGACGGGATAACCGCAGTGATGGTAAAGGTCTCAAAAGCGGACACGAAGACCCTTCACGTGGGCTTGCTCTGCACCCCATCGGATCAATGCCAATCGCACCGTTGAAAGCCATCACTCATGACATGACTGTCAATCGCACGGGTGCGGCCGACGCGAATGTTGCCAACAAAAGTGCTGCGAGTGTACTCAAAGAGCGCTTGAAGGCAGGTAGAGGAGCTTTAAGCCCTGAAGCAAATTCGAAAGACACAAAAGATACTCCATCACACTCAGTACCGGTCAAAAGGAAACTCTCAGCTGTCGAGGCATTTGCGGAGTCGACTTCAAACGATGCACAAGGCACGAACACTCCGGGTGATAAACCTGAGACCCCAGCGGACCCGGTTAGGCTATGGGAAGATGGATATGCTGATCGGTACTACCAGCTCAAATTCCACAGAGACCCTGGCGACATATCCTTTCGCACACATGTTGCCCATGCATATGTTGAAGGATTGGCGTGGGTTTTGCAGTATTATTTTCAAGGCTGCCCGTCCTGGGAATGGTATTATCCATACCATTACGCACCATTCGCAGCCGATTTCAAAGACATATCGCAGGCCAATGTTACGTTCGAAAAAGGCACCGTCTCTCGACCGTTCGAACAGCTCATGAGTGTCCTGCCAGCTGCTTCGCGTGATAATTTGCCGGAAGTGTTTCATAGTTTGATGACTGACCAGGACAGTCTCATCATTGATTTTTATCCAGAAGAGTTCGAAGTTGACTTAAATGGAAAAAAGATGGCGTGGCAAGGAGTTGCACTGCTGCCTTTCATTGAAATGGACCGCCTTCTGGCAGCTGTGCAGAAGAGATACCCACTACTTAGTGACGAAGACAGGAAGCGCAACGGTGTCGGAAGAGATGTCTTGCTCTTGTCAGATAGCCATGAGAGCATCTACGACGAGATCCTGACAAATTTCTACTCCAAAAAGCAGGGCTCTACTCAGTTCAGACTCAACCCCAAGACAAGCGACGGACTCTCTGGCTACGTTGAGAAGCAAGAAGGGTATGTGCCACATGGGACGCTACATTATCCCCTTGAACGCAAGTCTATGCCAGACCTAGACTATGACCGCTCCATGAGGTATGTTAATGATATTCTGCCAGGACATGGCAACACGAAAGTCCACTAACAGCCCATAGCGTTAATTATGACATGCCGAAAATGACCCATGATCATAAGTCGATGCTCCTGCGTGGAGTCAAAATGCCAAGCCCCGCACTCACGCGAAGTGATATAGAGATTTTGCGAGGGAAGACATCGAGAGGTGGATACAGCGGCGGCAACCGCGGAGGACGCTATGACCCTGGTGGACAACACCACTTCAGGCAGAATGGAAGGGGTAGGGGACAAGATTTTGGTCATGGCCGCCCGCAGTCAAATTACCACAGGCGCGAGGATCCGCGCCCTCTTCCCCATCAGCACTTTCGTGGACAGGGTGGTTGGCAGCCTCCACATCCTGGCTCTTCCGGCTTTGGAAGAGGTGTTCCACCACCACCTCCTCCGGCACATGAACAAGGCTGGAGTTCCCAAAGCTTTAACGCTAGTGTTTACAGCTACGGTCCTAGTCAAGGCCATCATCTCCCGAGAGGTGGTTACCATTCTCGTGGTCGATGGAATTGACATCGGTCGGTCAGTTACGATTATGTCGCACAACTACTATAGACTGTCTTACCAATGTACAACAATAGAGCTTCGTTGTAGACTCGACGCACCTCGTTGAGGTTACGGGTTCTCTAGCACGGAAGTATTGGGACCTGGCCAAATATTGTATGTGCTAGATCAGATATAGTGGTCCATCTGCTGATCTAATTCGAAGTACAACATGAAGAGCGTGCGTGTTTTCCTACAAAGAGGTCTTCTTGTTGCGCGTTCAAATCCAGTGCTCATCACGGAGCTCCGCATCACGGGCAAATGATCCCTGATACAGATAAGGACGAGCCGGACCTTCAAGCTCCGGAATGTACCCTTGGGTACATTCATCAAATGACACCCAAGGCTGCGAGGAGAAAAACTCGTCGTAGCTCGTAGCTAGAGCATGCTGCAAGCTAGTCACTTCGCCGGAGGGGAACATAGCCTTCCGCGGGTGACGGCAGGAATCTCCTTGACAGTTCTTGAGCGTCAGAACCAGAGTATCGAGACGCTTGACGAGCTGAGCTATGTTGTACGAGCTACATTGTGGCTGCTTTGCGTGCAAGTTGAATGTCTGGTAAGGGTCTCTCTGTATGCTATATTGGTTGTTGTACATTTTCTCGAATTGCATTGTTGAACGTACCTTCATGTCGTATAGCTCATGTTCACCATTGCACCACACAGTGTACATGAATTCATACTTTTCCGAGACAATTCGTAGAGTCTTGTACGTGTTATGATCGAAGTACCCTTCTTGAGGGGCTGTCAATGCACGGTCATGATTATTAGGGGTCACTTGCATACTCAAGTTGGCAAACACCGTCCCTTCGATAATGCCGCTTCCCCAGCACTCAATGTTGACATGTTCGGTCTTGATCGAATCCGGGGTGTGATCTGCGAATTTAACGGGGATAGGCAACCCATCAAAGTCATCCCGAAGGGAGAAATCGGCCAACTTAAAGAGAGTCGGCGCGAGGTCGGTGTGTGAAGAGGGAGACTTCAATGTCTTATTTTTGGCAATTTCAGGGCCACGAATTATGAATGGAACGTTGACATCTTCCTCAATACCGCAGGTCTTACCAGCGGGTAGTCTATGCTGTCCAAGGTGGAAACCGTTGTCAGCAGTGTAAATGATGTAAGTATTGGCCAAAACATCAGGATAGTCCAGAAGGGTCTCGAAGATGCCCTCAACAAGATCATCGACGTCCTGCAGAGACTGCAGACGCCTTCTTTGGAAATTGTCGAGATACTGAACTTGTGATTTGTTGAGCCTAGGAAGATCCTTGAAGTAACTTACGGTTCCAGGCTGTACAGCAATGTCAGCGATCAATTTCTGATACCGCTGTTCTGAATAAGTCAGTACCTGGGCGGGGTTGAAGTTTTTGTTTCTGGGGGCCTAGGCATCCGGGAATAGATCGTGATGGCGACTGGCCGGCACAGGTTCCCTAAATGTATCAGTCAGCTCAGTGTGAGGCGCAATGGGGGCAACCCCAAGGAAGAAAGGGTTCTGGGCCTCAATGCCTTTTTAAAGGAAATTTAGAGATCTCTTGGCAATTAAGTCAGTAGAATACTCTCCTGGGAATGCTTTCCATTTCTGTCAAGAGAAAATAGGCATTGTTATATACGTAAGTGTTTAAATAATATTATATTTATTAAAAAGTCTAGATATTTTAATCTTTTAAGAAATAATATTAGACTAGCTTTTTTTTATATTTATTATAACTTTATACTAGTAGCTATAAAGAGAAGAAAAAATAACTATTTATATTTATAATTAGCTCTTTTAAAATAATTAAGAAATAGATTTATTATTAAATATATATATTAAAAGTAGATTACCTTATAAAAGCCTTTTATAATAGTTAAAATACTAATATCAGCTAATACTACCCTATAAAGTTACTAGAGCTAATAAAAATAGTTATATTATTAATTTACTCCTATTATCCTTATAGAATATTAGGTACCTTAATAAATTATTAGTATAGGAAAAACTATTACCTAGCTATCCTAGGGCCTTACTACCCCTAGCCTATACCTAACCTAGGTAAAAACCTATACTTTTTATA